AAATTGGATCGATGATATGCATCAACCAAGTCAGCGATCCTGACCACCCGATACCGTTAGTCACATCTTACGACAAGCATAGTCGCCTCTTGCAACAAGCATAGTCACCTCTTACGACAAGCATAGTCGCCTCTTGCGACAAGCATAGTCGCCTTTTACGACAAGCATAGTCGCCTTTTACGACAAGCATAGTCGCCTCTTGCAACAAGCATAGTCGCCTTTTACGACAAGCATAGACGCCTTTTATGAAAAGCATAGTCGCCTTTTACGACAAGCATAGTCGCCTTTTACGACAAGCATAGTCGCCTCTTGCGACAAGCATAGTCGCCTTTTACGACAAGCATAGTCGCCTTTTACGACAAGCATAGTCGCCTTTTACGACAAGCATGGTCGCCTTTTACGACAAGCATAGTCGCCTTTTACGGCAAGCATAGTCGCCTTTTACGGCAAGCATGGGTTGCTGAAGACCTATTCTACCCCCGGACTCCTCTCACATTATAATAATTGTGTAAGCAGTGTAAAACATAACTCACTCACTCACTCATACGTACATGTTTTGGCGGAATGAAGTCTTTGTTTTGTCAATCAGGGTGATGTCCAACTATTAACATATTCTTGGCGTGTTACAGTAAAACCTTGTCAAAGCTCCACTGACAAAAGAATGTTCATGTTTGTCATATTTTTATCGACTAATAAATATATTGTTTGGGTACCATTCTGTCACTATTTTACACTGATGCCATAACCGCTTATGTATGTTTGTTTGTTGTTTAACACCGCACTCAGCAATATTACAGCTCTATCGAGGATAGAATAGGTCTTCAGCAACCCATGCTTGCCGTAAAAGGCGACTATGCTTGTCGTAGGAGCCGTAAAACGGGATCGGGTGGTGAGGCTCGTTGACCAACGTACCAGCATGACGGCGGCCTGTAAATACTCGAACATGGACATGACAATCCGGTGATTAATGGCCCCGATCCACGCCGTAGGGGTACGTCGACATCATCAATCAAGTCAGCGAGCCTTACCTCCTGGCCCATTTGGTCCCCTCTTACAACCAGCAGGGGGGGGGGGGGGGGGGGGGGGGGGGTATAGAGATGTAATGCATCACTCTAGGTTGACACTGAATGTGTCAATGAGTGAGTGAGTGAGTTGGGTTTAACGCCGCTTTTAACATTATTCCAGTTATATCACGGCGTGTCAGCTTAATGTGGGAGGAAAGCCCGAAGTGATGCACCCACGGTGAAACCCACGAGTACGGGTAGGGTCCTGACAAACCTAGAAACATAATTGGGGCGAACCGGGATTGGAACCCACAATCATAGGTTTCTGGCGTGCCCAAGGGACGCAACTCTGCACAGCGAATCGCGGCGCCTTAGACGACTGAGCCACCCGTGCCCCCCGAATGTGTCAATGAAGTAGACAATGATACGTGATTTGCCGTTATCAGCATGACGGCGCTTCACTTCGATATATGATTCAATGGACATTGATTCGATAGAAACATAAAGAGATGATTGTTTGTTTGTTTTGTTTAACACCGCACTCAGAAATATCCCAGCTACATGACGGCGGTTTGTAAATAATCGACTCTGGACCAGACAATTCAGTGATTGATGGCATGAGCATCGATCCTAGCATTTGGGATACGATGACATGCATCTACCAAGTCAGCGAGCCTGACCACCCGATCCCGTTAGTCGCATCTTAGTCGTCAGACCTTTCTACCCCGGATCTTCACAGGTCTCTTAAGCGATGTTAATCCCCAAATCCTCAATTCCTGACTTGCATGTGGAATAAGATTACAGAAAGTTCAATCACACTTCCCCCGTCGCTTGAACACTATTACTGATGGGCAGACAGACAGACAGACACGCAGACAGGCAAGCAGGCAGATATATTTATTCTCACTTGTAACCAAAATTTTTCAACCAATCGCTTAGCGATTTATGGGAGACACTAAAACAATATAAGTCCATATAACATATAGGTCTATACATTATTTATATAAAATAGCCGGTCTTAAAGTCAAAATGCTGTGGCAGGCTTTGGAAGCGTCAAAGATCAGTAATGGGCTGGACAAAATATTAAGGAACTGGTCGTCATTTTGTTAGCCTAAAAACCGCGGATGTCACTGTTACAAGCAGCAAACAAGTTATGTCTTATAGAACTGCATTCAGGACATTCCAATAAAACCTGCTTTTCATCTACCACAACGTATAGGGAAGGTATTATTCCATGGCAACTGTGTATGATTGGCTAATACAGGTGAGACTTCGGAAGCTAACTATGACGACACACAACTTAAAGAGGTAACAACGTCTTTGTTGCTTACAACGACGTGTCTTACCCGTTCATCGGGTGATTACTGATGAGGATATTGAGTTCAGATACACCTCTCCAAAATCAAGTAAAGGATGCTTGAAAATAACAGATGTTTACAGAAATACAAGGCGGTATCGAGTGATGGTAATGGATGGCTAAGGAAAATGAAGGACGTGGTGTAACCTGACAATCAACAGAACATGTTGGCGGCGTATTGTAAGGGTGCAGACAACCAAGAAAGACGGTGGAGGTGCTCAGTTAAAGATGAGTTGATCAACAATGGGAGGTGCCCCTTCGACTGATCAAACATTCATTTATACGGCGTGGCTTGGTTAAAAAACTCCCAGTGGCAATTAGTGGGAGTCTGAGCGGGTGGTCTTTGATGTCGGCGTACACGAATCCCAATCGTGTCCCAGGCGTGCTCTATTTGGTTAAAGGTCAGGACTCGTGGCTGGTCATTGTATTATCGTCCAGTGACCCTCTCTCCAGCCATATGACGGCGGCTGGTAAATAATCGGTCCACACAATTGGGATACGGTGACATGCATCAACCAAGTCAGCGAGCCTGACCACCGACCCCGTTAGTCGTCTCTTACGACAAGCATAGTCGCCTGTTATGGCGGGCATGGGTTGCTGAAGACCTATTCTAACCCGGATCTTCACGGTCCATATATATATTTAGGGTTTATACATGATGTAAAAACACATCCTTGGTTATAGATTTTTCCTTTTTGTATAAATTAAATAATGACATTATTTATGAAAAAACAACAATGACATTTTTACTTGAAGACCCGCGTTCGATTCCCCACATGGGTAAAATGTGTGAAGCCATTTTCTGGTGTCCCTGCGGGAATATAGCTATAAGCGGCGTAAAACCATACTCACTCCTGTAGTTGACCAGGATGACAATAAGCAGGACAGAGTAAAGGACAACTCATTAAGTTTGAAAATAACTCGACAATCTGGACAACGATCACATGCCCGAGATGCTTCTTTCAATATTGCATCAATACAATTCATTTTCAACACATAAGGCAGGATGAAGAAGAAAATGAAAATGAAATAAAAATGACAAAAAAATAACACTTTTTAAATTATTATTTTGAACTAGAAGATTCTATAATGTTATTTATATACTTGTGTGAAATTACACGTTTGATTGGGATTGAATTTTACTTATATGCTCAAGAAAGCACAACACATGACGCCACTGTTGTTCAGTCATGTTACAGGGCTAAGACTGTGGCCACTCTTTACAAGTATCTGCCCGTTCTCCATCGCTGACCATGCTGAATATTTGGCGCAATCGAAATTTCACCCGTCTACAGAACAAACCAGTTTATTTTGTCTTCTTGAAAGAGTTGAATGACCTTGAAGTAAGGCGTGGATGGACAATAGCCCGGGGCGATCCGCCTGTTATGAAACGTGCTCCATGAGATACGTCAACCATGTTTAGGGCTAATCCTTCCCCAGAACGGCCCCAGACCTGGATATCAAGTCGATGGATAGGTCAAGTGGACGATGAAGCACAATTGTGATTCATTTGACGTCCGACTCTCGTACTGACGACAGATCAGGTTTGGTGCGGACTGGGCCAGAAACAACAGCTGCTGCATGAACGACAAACACCGACTTACGAGGAACCACGTGGTCACTAACTGTGGAAAGTTACATCATTGGATTGATGAGGTGGCTTGTCATTCGGCAACTGGACATTGACTGCGTTAGAAGCTGTAACCAGACACGTCACACCGTGACAGACCGTGACATGCACGCGGTATATATCTAGCCAAGAGATGATGGCTATTTGACGGAATCAGTGGCCCCACAGGCGCGCCAGGAGAGATGATCTACAACCACCATGGTGTGTATTAAGTGAGTCACTATGTTCTGTACCTTCGTCACATTAATTTAAAGGATTAAAGCCCCATCCATACGAAAGAAGGACGTGTATTTTCAATCATGCTTGGGGCAGTTGCGTCTTTGTTTGACGTGAATCTATCGGCAGTTTCTCCGCTGCTCTGTGTGTGTGCTATCATCCTGCTGGTGTTTTTGACATTGAGCTGGTCCTCGGAGGGAAATGGAGGGAACGCTCCACCAGGACCCCGCGGCTGGCCTGTGATTGGCAACCTCCCTCAGCTTGGGAAGAAACCGCACGTTACATTAACCCAACTCCGGAAGAAATACGGAGACGTTTACAAAATAACACTTGGTAGTCGCCAGACGGTTGTCTTGAATGGACTTCATACAATCAAACAGGCGCTTGTTAAACAAGGGGAAGAATTTGCTGGCAGGCCGGATTTTTACTCATTCAAGTTCATAGGAAACGGGAAGAGCATGGGTTTCGGCGACTACGGCCCGCGTTGGAAGATGCATCGACGTCTTGCGCAAAACGCATTGGCTGGATGCATTGACAAGAAGACTAATCCTATTGAAGAATCCATCATTTCCGAGGCGGAGGTCCTGGTTTCAAACCTCCTGGAATCAGACGGGTCTCCCATAAACCCCCACAACGAGATCTATTTATCAGTAGGCAACATCATATGTGCTCTGTGTTTTGGTAAAAGATACAAACGTGACGACCCGGACTTTCTACAGCTTATAAGGATGAACGACGAATTTATGGCGTTTGCAGGGGCCGGCAACCCAGTTGATATCATGCCCTGGGTTCGGTTCTTCACGTTCCGCTCATTCAACACCTTTGTCGGGATCCTGAACACCATGACCGCCTTCTGTGTGAAGAAGCAGAAGGAACACATGGACACCTACGACCCTGCCGTGGCGAGGGACGTCACCGACCTCCTCATCCGGGCAGTACAGGAGACTCCGGATGAAGAGAAGGAAGCAGTGGGATTGACGGACGAACACATCTTGACAACGGTTCAAGAACTCATCGGTGCAGGGTTTGACACAATAGCTAGTACTCTGCAGTGGAGTGTTCTGTTCATGATGGCTTACCCAGATCACCAAGACAAAGTGTACGAAGAGATTAGCTCTCACGTTGGTCTGAACGGAACACTCGATCTAGAGGACATGGATAAACTTCCTTTCACGGAGGCCTGTTTATTGGAGATAATGCGCCATTCTTGTATATTCCCTTTCGCCCTGCCGCACAGCACAACGAAGGACACGACACTTAAGAATTACCTAATCCCCGATAAAACGCTCATCTTTGTGAACTTGTGGTCAGTCAGCCATGACGAGGAGCTGTTTCCCGATCCAGACAAGTTTGACCCCTATCGTTTCCTTGACAAAACTGGATATATTGATAAGGCGAAAACAGAAATCTTCCTTCCGTTTGGAGTAGGCCGTCGACGATGTCCCGGGGAACAGTTAGCGAAGATGGAACTATTCCTGTTCTTTGCTACCATGATGCTGAAATGTAAGTTCGAGAGTCCGCTAGGTGGCGCTCCTGTGATCGACAGCAAGTATGGCCTTACTCTCAAGCCCGTGGACTTCAAGGCAGTTGTCACCAAGAGGTAAGCCGCGGACATCAAGGCAGTTGTCACCAAGAGGTAGCCCGCGGACATCAAGGCAGTTGTCACCAAGAGGTAGCCCGCGGACATCAAGGCAGTTGTCACCAAGAGATAGCCCGCGGACATCAAGGCAGTTGTGACTGAATTCGGATATACTACCGATATACCGATGTCGGATATACTACCGATATACTGAGAGCAGATATACTGTCTTTTAACTGAAGTCGGATATACTACCGATATACTGAAGTCGGATATACTGCCGTGGTTCTGTATTCTGATATGTACAAGCTTTAGTATCAGTTTGGATATAACTAGTATTAAGTAATTGTTAATAAACGTACCCACTTAACATAGTGTGTTTTAAGTTATTATCAAGTTTCGCTATCAACACTATGAACACTAAAACGATGAGGAATGTAGGGGGCACTGGCGACCCGTGACTATTCGGGGTAGAATAGGTCTTCAGCAACCCATGCTTGCCGCAAATGGCGACTATGCTTGTCGTAAGAGGTAACTAACGGGATCGGGTGGTCAGGCTCACTGCCTTTGTTGATGCATGTCATTGTTTCCCAATTAAGTGCTCTTGGTGTCAATCACTGGATTGTCTGGTCCAGACTGGATTGTTTACAGGCCGCCGTCATATGGCTGGAATATTGTTGAGTGTCGCGTTAAACAACAAACAAACAAACAAACCAATGGTAGCCCTGCAGTTAATGCGTTCGCTCATCTAGTAAAAGTAAAAATCCGGTCCAGTTCAGGTCTCCACACACTGTGTGATGCCCATTTATAGTGATATGATGAAATATTGGCAAAGATCCATACACAACAACCACTCATCTCTTAAGGGCTGTGCCATGTCAAAAACATGTATAATTATATTGTTTAACAACATTCAGCTGATAATTAAAAAACGCATCGAATAAAGCTCAATCAGTACCAATACTCAGTTAAATAAATGATCTTTGCTGTTGTCATCAATGCACTACAGCGTGCTATGTGAAGCAGCCAATTCATTTGCAAACAGGAGGCACGGTTGGCCCAGTCGTCTAAGGCGCCACTGTGCAGAGTTGCGTCCCTTGGGCACACCAGAAACCTATGATTGTGGGTTCGAATCCCGGTTCGCCCCGATTATGTTTCTCGGTTTGTCAGCACCCTACCCGTGCTCGTGGGTTTCACCGAAGTGGTGAACGTCTGAGACATGCATCACTTCAGGCTTTCCTCCAACATTAAGCTGACACACCGCGACATAACTGGAATACTGTTCAAAGCGGCGTTAAACCCAACTCACTCGCTCACTCACTTATTTGCAAACACGTTGCACCAGCACACGGTATGAGGGATATTTGTGGGGCGCTTCATACATTACTCCACACTACCAACATCGCCTTGAAGTTCACACTCATCCGCTCATCTGAAAACAACTGTGACTGTCTTTAAAGGCTCTACTTGTATTAATTACTGAAGTCTAACACAATTTACATTGTTTGTAGAGATTACATGGAAAAATAATAGCGCAAAAGATATTCTGCGACTTGTTCTTATATTGAAGTTGCAAAACTTATTGAACGCCCTCGAAGGTGTAAAGGGACCTTCGACCATTACGCATGCGCGCTTTGTTTGAGCAAAGTTATACATTTTTCGATTTAGCAAGGTGATTCATTTGCTAACAACCAGATATATGCAGACAGCAACACGGTAACCTCATAATTATTGTTTTATGGTTAAAAGAAAACACACAACAATGTCAGCCTAAACAGAGATCGAGATCGAGATCAATCATGTCGTCTCGATAAAGCTGTATGAAGTGTCAACAGTCAACAATTTCATTCCGAATAAATAAATTGTATTCGTCAAATATTCACACGCTTTAGCGTGCTGCAGTTCCCTTTCATGCACAAATGTCACCGTGTCGAGCGATTTCTTTTTATAAATTATGTCATTATGTAATTTATACAATATGTAATCCAATACTATTTTAAGGAAAATCTGAAATCAAGGATGTGTTTGTACATCATTTTCTGGTCACAAACGTACCATAGAATCGCTCACATAGCAATAGTAATAACACTAATTTGAGAGGTTCTTAAATACTTCTGTTTGTTGTAGAGAAATAAGGGAACATAGACTAGGACCTTGCAAACCATTTAGTTTTTTATTTGTTTGTAACAGTGAACACTCCATCTTCTGTTGTTCGTGGCCTAATGCAACGTGCGGTGTAATCAAAGAAAATCCCACGATGTGTTTAGAAATGCAAGTTTTCAAAACATTTTATCCTAAATATATATATATATTATATTTACTTACTATAACTGTGCCAATTCTTCTGATTTATATGAGTTGTCACCCCTCTTATTCTGTTGCATCTAAATATATATTAGTTGATGTTTAAAGTAGTATATTTTAAAGTAAAACATTGCACACTGTTTAATTGTATACGGTGCGACACGACAAGGTGAAGATATGGGACCAATTGCTTTAGCAAACAATATTGTACTTAAGCGTCTGGATAGTACAAAAATAATACCCCTTTATATAATACTGTACGGAACGAAATTATGTTGTTACAAACGATGGCTATAGATTGTAGACTGGATACATGCTAAATTCATTGAGAATGAAAGACGGGAGAGGATATATAAAATTTATTGATTACATCACACAGAATGAAAGGCGGGGAGAGGGTTTATCAAATCTAGTATATACATCATTTAAAATGAAAGGCGCGGAGAGGGTATCAAATATAGTATATCCACTATTTAAAATTAAAGGCAGGCGGGGGGGGGGGGGGGGGGGGGGGGGGGATATGTCAAATATAGCATATACATCATTAAAAATGAAAGGCGTGGGGGAGGGCATATCAAACAAGTATATACATCATTTAAAATGAAAGGCGGGGAGAGGGTATATCAATTATAGTATATACATTTAAAATGAAAGGCGCGGAGAGGGTATATCAATTATAGTATATCCACTATTTAAAATGAAAGGCGGGGAGAGGGTATATCAATTATAGTATATACATTTAAAATGAAAGGCGCGGAGAGGGTATATCAATTATAGTATATCCACTATTTAAAATGAAAGGCGGGGAGAGGGTATATCAATTATAGTATATACATTTAAAATGAAAGGCGCGGAGAGGGTATATCAATTATAGTATATCCACTATTTAAAATGAAAGGCGGGGAGAGGGTATATCAATTATAGTATATACATTTAAAATGAAAGGCGCGGAGAGGGTATATCAATTATAGTATATCCACTATTTAAAATGAAAGGCGGGGAGAGGGTATATCAATTATAGTATATACATTTAAAATGAAAGGCGCGGAGAGGGTATATCAATTATAGTATATCCACTATTTAAAATGAAAGGCGGGGAGAGGGTATATCAATTATAGTATATACATTTAAAATGAAAGGCGCGGAGAGGGTATATCAATTATAGTATATCCACTATTTAAAATGAAAGGCGCGGAGAGGGTATATCAATTATAGTATATCCACTATTTAAAATGAAAGGCGGGGAGAGGGTATATCAATTATAGTATATACATTTAAAATGAAAGGCGCGGAGAGGGTATATCAATTATAGTATATCCACTATTTAAAATGAAAGGCGGGGAGAGGGTATATCAATTATAGTATATACATTTAAAATGAAAGGCGCGGAGAGGGTATATCAATAATAGTATATCCACTATTTAAAATGAAAGGCCGGGAGAGGGTATATCAATTATAGTATATACATTTAAAATGAAAGGCGCGGAGAGGGTATATCAATTATAGTATATCCACTATTTAAAATGAAAGGCGGGGAGAGGGTATATCAATTATAGTATATACATTTAAAATGAAAGGCGCGGAGAGGGTATATCAATTATAGTATATCCACTATTTAAAATGAAAGGCGGGGAGAGGGTATATCAATTATAGTATATACATTTAAAATGAAAGGCGCGGAGAGGGTATATCAATTATAGTATATCCACTATTTAAAATGAAAGGCGCGGAGAGGGTATATCAATTATAGTATATCCACTATTTAAAATGAAAGGCGGGGAGAGGGTATATCAATTATAGTATATACATTTAAAATGAAAGGCGCGGAGAGGGTATATCAATTATAGTATATCCACTATTTAAAATGAAAGGCGGGGAGAGGGTATATCAATTATAGTATATACATTTAAAATGAAAGGCGCGGAGAGGGTATATCAATTATAGTATATCCACTATTTAAAATGAAAGGCGGGGAGAGGGTATATCAATTATAGTATATACATTTAAAATGAAAGGCGCGGAGAGGGTATATCAATTATAGTATATCCACTATTTAAAATGAAAGGCGGGGAGAGGGTATATCAATTATAGTATATACATTTAAAATGAAAGGCGCGGAGAGGGTATATCAATTATAGTATATCCACTATTTAAAATGAAAGGCGGGGAGAGGGTATATCAATTATAGTATATACATTTAAAATGAAAGGCGCGGAGAGGGTATATCAATTATAGTACATCCACTATTTAAAATGAAAGGCGGGGAGAGGGTATATCAATTATAGTATATACATTTAAAATGAAAGGCGCGGAGAGGGTATATCAATTATAGTATATCCACTATTTAAAATGAAAGGCGGGGAGAGGGTATATCAATTATAGTATATACATTTAAAATGAAAGGCGCGGAGAGGGTATATCAATTATAGTATATCCACTATTTAAAATGAAAGGCGGGGAGAGGGTATATCAATTATAGTATATACATTTAAAATGAAAGGCGCGGAGAGGGTATATCAATTATAGTATATCCACTATTTAAAATGAAAGGCGGGGAGAGGGTATATCAATTATAGTATATACATTTAAAATGAAAGGCGCGGAGAGGGTATATCAATTATAGTATATACATTTAAAATGAAAGGCGCGGAGAGGGTATATCAAATATAGTATATCCACTATTTAAAATGAAAGGCACGGAGAGGGGGGGGGGGGGGGGGGGGGGGGGGTATATCAAATATAGCATATACATCATTTAAAATGAAAGGCGGGGAGAGGGCATATCAAAGTTGTTGTTTTTCTAACTGGGCTCCACATGAGTCCCAAATGATATTAACTTTAATGCATATCAGACGAGTTTGTTTGTATCATATGTTATGACTGTTTGTTTGATGTTGTTTATAAGAGTAATTTTTTTTTTGTAAATAAACATAAACCGCCGGCTAGGCCCTTTATCAAAGGGAAGTAACTCCAGTTTATGAAGCGTCTGAGACTCCAGTTTATGAGGCGCTCAGGCTGGGTTCCGCTATCACTCGTCCTGGTGTCTCATAGGGCCAGCGCCGAAACCCGGTGAATGAAACATCACGTTTGTTTAGTGTCTGCTTTGTCATTACATTGTCATGTTGCAAAATATAGTCTGAAGTCCCACACACCGACACAGTGATACAAAGCAATGCACTTATATTTACCGGAAATTCCTCCGCCATTTTGAGCTTATTTCGGTCACGGTTGTTAAATAACATATCAGTAATTGTCATATCAGTTCTCATTAAAATATTAACCCATTGCATTCACATCCCGCTCACGCTTTCATATTCAAGGTCTCAGTGAAGCTTTCAAAATGTTTTAAGGATAACATGTGGTGGATAGTGTGATGTCCGATGTAAATCTCTATTTTGACTTGAACCATATGTTTTCCTCACCTTTGCGCCACTTGCTAGTGATTCACAAACGCATATTCATATTCATGTACGCATATACGCATATTTATGACAGTCGGAATCGTACAATCGACTGTTTTTGGTAGAGATATATCATAAATATGGAAAGGGTTTTGTCGCTTTTGTTTACTATAGTAACAAAAAGGGGGCTTACGATTGAACTAAATTGTAGATTTTAAAGGCGTTATCCCACTTCTGGTCGAGTTATATGGGTAATATAAGGAAACACTCTCTTCAAATTAGAATATTATTACGAGACCATTAACTGTAGATTTTAAAGGAGTTATCCCACTACTGGTCGACGGGATATATGTGCAGTAATAGTAAGAAAGTGAGTTGGATTTAACGCCGATACAGACGGCATTCCAATTACATGACGTCGTGTCTGTTTAATGTAGGAGGAAAGCCCGAAGTCTTAGACGTTTACCACTTTGCACGGGTATGGTGCTGACAAACCTAGACACAATTATTATCTGCGCGAACCAGGATTCGAACCCACGAGCATTGGTTTCTGTCGTTCCCAAAGAAACCAGCTCTGCACAGCGAATTGTCCACCCGTCTCCCTCTGTAGTATATAGTCAATAATATCTTTAAATTAGCAGTATTGACCCTTTGCATTCACATCCTGCTTACAAGTTTTAAAAGTGATTTACTATTATCAGCCAAAAGGAAATCTTAAGATTTCATATATAGTATTTTAAGAGGCGTAAACCCACTTCTGATTTCTATATGTGATTTTAAAGGTGTTCTGCAACTTCTGGACAGGGTGTGTATATCATAATAATTATAATGAATATTCACTTAGAAATTTCAAACACAAGTTGTCATAGTTAATAATGCAAAGAATACCATCTCTATAACAGTGCCAGAAATCCCGTTTTCGTCAGCCATCGTTCTATAATATCTTTATATTATATCAGTTCTCTTCACTGTCAGCCAGTTGAGATACTGATAGTATCTACTTCCTTAACTACTTTCGAACAGCTAGCGCCATATGAGCGGATGTACGTTCGTATTGTCGGCAGGCATGTCCTGGTTCAGCGGCTTGAAACCGGGGGACGTATTTAGTTTACAAGAGACTCGCAAGCCCAACGTATGTGTGCTGGACAGGACCACTGGCAGCGTTTGTTAAGTTGCTCTTTTTAACTCGGCACTGGACCAGACAAACCAGTGATTGGTATTATGAGCAGCGACGCTCGCCGTCGGGGTATGATGATGGTATCCCGCAATCAACCAAGTCACTGAGACGGACCACACGATCCACGTAGTCGCCTCGTGACAAGCATAGCTAGCTGGGGACCGATGCCAACCAGGACCCTCAACAGGGCAACGAAAAGGGTGAGTTACAAGAACGATTGACCGTGTCTACACTTATATAAGCCGATTATTTCACATCTGGACAGTGGACAAAACATGTTTTCCCTAACTTTGCCAAGGGAAACAAACCATTGTTACCAGTGACACAGGACATCATGTCATTTTAAATATTTTTTCAGGGACTTATTACATTGCTTAAAACATTCGAAGCAGGCTGATATGTCATATTTATAAGCAGATATGTGATGAGGCGACACCCTATAAATAAGTTTGTTGCTTATGAAACAGCTGAGAGTTTCGAATCACATTTGTCCTTATGTGTCCAAAACTTTTACAATCCAAATATAGATAACGGAATGCCGTTCTAATTCGAGGTCCAACTCATAGATGTAGCATTGCCTTCCTGTGCATGACGCCGCCAGCGCTTGTTTGTGCATACGACCTTGATGCAAGTGCACAACAATTGACAAGGGTACATCCGCTTCGATATCACATCCCTGTCGCATGTAACTCGTGTTGGACACGAAATATCGCGTTCTAATTCGAATGCAGAATTAACCGTGGCATATATACGCTACGATATCACATCCCTGTTGCTTTGTCATCATACTGGAAGGGGAAGTAACTCGAGTTGGACTAAACGCGTGGCGGTGGGTGGGTGGTCATCGACACTTGAAACAGAATCACAAAATATCGCAATTATATTGAGTAAAGAAGAAAGCTGCTTGTTTGGTTATAATCTAAAGTGAAAACAAACTATTCCGACGAAAAGGAATGTTACTTACCCATTAACGACAACAATTGCAAAGTTTGCTTTAAGGAATATCCATTAGGCTAGCAATGAACATCATCATGGCTAGCGATGGTTATAAGCATACATACGTAGTTTACTGTATATGAATATGGAAAAGGTTTTGCCGGTTTTGTTTAGTTTTAGTGTCATGCACTTTATTCAATGTTGCACTCATACAAAATGAAGGATGTCTTCTACTGATAGCTTTTGTTTCAATAGGACAACAGTTTGACACACAAAAAACCATGTGACTCGACATACCAAAAACTGATTTTTCATTGCAACTGTTTTCCAGAAAAAAGGAACATTTGTTGGGTAAAGTTTACAAGATGAGCTCACCATCTCTCCAAGAATCAGATGACAGCGATAACATAGGGGAGGTAGCTCCATACGTCGATGACTCGGGCAGCACCTCAGGAAGTGACGTGGAGGGGGAGGAGGGGGAGGAGGAGGAGGAGGAGGAAGAGGCGGTGTGTATAAACAATGACTTTGAGCCTGGTTTGGAGGCCCTGTGCCAGCAACAGATTTCTCGTAAGACGGACACAGAAGACCAACTGAGGACAGATGAAGGTTTACCAGGTGGAGCTGACTGTGCTGCTGTGATGCTAGGTGACAGGGACGAACTAACACCCACAGATGATGCAGCTGAAAATTGCCACTACGACAGTGGAAAGACGCACCGATCACGATCTCCTTCGTGTTTGCAGGGGGCCGTGGCACTATCGCAAGGTGTGTTTATTTCATATATTTCAGGAAAGTCAGTCATTCTCAAACAATAGACTAAGTTTAGGCATTTTTTCTTCATAAACACTTGTGTTTTTTTCTATTGCAGGTGAAGAACAAGACTTGTCACGTGCTATAGCAGAATCAGTCAGCAACGCGTTGTCATCAGTGGATACAGAACAGGGTGTAACAAATATAGGTATGCGTGTGGATTTTGGTGTATCAAAATCTTTCTGACAAGTAGAATTGTCTGAATTGTATTCCACTGCAAACACGATAACGTCGTTTTTCCGTTTGTAGTAATTGGATGGAAAAACGACAAAACATTCATTAAAAGTGATTAATTGGTGAGCGTCCAGAAAGTTTCCGAATTCGTTTATAGTATAACTCACCATTGCATTTATAAATGTATGAGTGTGTAGCATTGAGTTGGCATTTCTTAATGCACCCTCTTGTAACATCACATGCCCGACAGGCAAATTAGGGAAAATTGTTATTTTGTTAAAAAAATGTTCATATTTTCTTAAAGAGGTATTTTGAGATTGCATTTAATGCAATAATATAAAACAAAACATTAAAACTTGTTTCCATATATTGCACATATTATAGTTTAATACGGGTTACTTCCACACAGCCATAAAATAAGTTATTAGTTTTATACATTAAAACATATTGTAACATGAATTGGGAAATTATTATTTTCAAATTGGGAATTTTCAATGACATTTGCTGCAGACTTGGGGCCAGATGTCGGCAGGTCTAAACTCCTGCATCATCATTGTTTACCTTCCGAGGAAATGTATCTCCTGGTTGTTGCTACTAGAACTTATACACAAGAGACTGACTAGCCTAAATCACATTGCTACAACGAACGTATTTCTGGTGTGCACATGTATGTTATGTTACATTCATTGTATGTCTCATTTTTATGCGAAACGTCCACAAAGAGATAAACACATGCAAGAACTGTCAACGCTCGATATCTAGGTACTGAAGCACAAGTATTACGCAATTTACTTTCTCTGAAGACAAAACACATGAAGTTACATGCGGCGATGGTTCTGGTGTGTAGTGCATGGACACAAGTGCAAGACAGTGTTTTATATTTACTTCGCTAATCTATTGGTATGCAACCCGTTTGCAAGGTATCCAAATCAAGCCACATTTGACAAAGATATCTTTGTCTCATTTCAGTAATCAACAACCCACAGGTCCACTTAACAAAGAAAACAGAGGTAGCAAACCTTAACGCACGATATGCAACAGTGGGAGGTCAACAGGTGATCCAGCCATCAACGTCCACTGACGGTGGAGAAAGACAACAGAACGATGGAACCAGACCAACAAGTAAATTAGACATTTTTTGTTACGTTCTATTTGATGTTAAGTAAGAGAACCTATCGAAGTGTATCAGCTGAAACATCAAACGAATACTATAGTGTATTGTCTGACACCACGTTTGGTTGGTTAGTTCGTTGGTTTGTTGTTTAACGCCGCACTCAGCAATATTCCAGCTATATGACGGCGGTCTGTAAATAATCGATTCTGGACCAGATAAACCAGTGATTAATATCATGAGCATCAATTGGGATCGATGAGGTGCATCAACCAAGTCAGAGAGCCTGACCACCCGATCCCGTTTGTCGCCTTTTACGACAAGCATAGTCGAATGATTGTGGTTTCCAATCCCAGTTCGCCTCAATTATGTGTCTAGGTTTGTCAGCATCCTATCCGTGCTCGTGGGTTTCACCAAAGTGGTGAACGTCTGAGACCTGCATCACCTCGGGCTTTCCTCCCACATTAAGCTGACACGCCGTTATATAGCTTGAATACTGTTAAAAGCAGCGTTAAACCAAACTCACTCACTCACTACTGATCAATATTTGTGATAGGACTGGGAATGCGTCGTGTACAACGTGATGAACGTTATCAATGGCTGGTTTGAGCCAGCGAGAGGTAGCCAATATGTCTCAGTTTGTGGAACAGATTTCGGCAGGGCGGTGGGTTAGCCTAGTGGATAAAGCGTTCGCTCGTCACGCCGAAGACCCGGCTTCGATTTTGGGTTCAATGTGTGTAGCCCATTTCTGGAGTCCCCCGCCGCGATATTGCTTGAATATTGCTTAAAGCGGCGTAAAACCATCCTCGTTCACTTACTCACTCGACAGACAGGGCGACCTAGGTCGACAACACATGTCGATTAATCAGAAACCAGGCATTAAAAAATCGAGTGCGTGAGGATGATGTAACGTCCTTTTTAACAATATTCCAGCGGTATCACAGCGGGGGACACCAGAAATGGGCTTTACACAATGTACCTATGTGGGGAATCGAACCCAGGACGTTGGCGTGACGACCGATGGCTTTAACCACAAGGCTACCCCACCGCTAGAGCCCAAACAGCCAATCAATTCTTTGATCACCCGATTTACAGGCACATCGGCAAACGTCGCCAGACGTCAATGGTATTTGGGGCGTAGACCTTGGCCTCGCGAAATGTTTCGGATTCACTCTGACTTTCTTGACAGTCGTGGACGTATTTTGAGGCCCCATAACGAACGTCATGGGAACGTCAACGTTAAGCAAGATGATTAATGTGGGGTGGGTCTTTACATTTTGAGACGTGATCACGATGACTGTCAGAACGCCAATTGATATTGTATTTGTGTCATTTGCCAGTAGTTGTGCCATTTGCGCCATGCTGGTCCACGTTTTGTCTTTCAAGACGATGACGCTCGTCACTTCAGTGCTCATGTTGTAACTGACTACATCCAGCAGCAACGTACCAGAATGTAATGCCTAGTCATGAGTACTGACCTTTTCCACATCTGGCATGGGACATGATCTGGAGACATCCATGGCCGCTCCCTACATTAGCCGAACTAGGTCAGGCTGCAAGATGAGTGGACAAGACTCCCTCAAGTTCACATTGGGAGACAGACTTGGACCGTGCCACGCCTAATAAACAATGTTTCACCACTCCCAGGGGCATAACCCGTTATTGACCAAGTTATCGCAAACATTATTTTTTTTACTTCACACCCCTGTTCGTCTTTGTTGGTTATTAGCAACCTTTCAACACGCCGCCGACATCTTCTGTTGATTGACACCACCAAGTCCTTTCTTTTATCTTATCCATCCACTACCATCACTCGATACGTCTTTGTATTTCTGTAAACATCAGTTATTTTAGATACATAGTAAGTACAGTGAGTCACTTGACTTGCCTTGTAGACATGTCATGTCGATGTTGCTATTGAACGGATCATGAATAGGGCTATTAAATCACCTTTCGATCACAGAAAGTTTTAGACCACCAGGACAGGGTGTCCAAGTGTACTTATGTTGCAGTGTTTTGTACGTTGTCTGCCCTTCAACTGTTAACCGTCCGTTAACATTCAATTTAAAACTTCATTTGTTCATAGCATCAAAGTAACCCAACAAAAGCATTGATACACCAAGGTAATCCACATAAAGCTGACCTTCTTTGATGTCAGTTATGTGTTGTTCAAAGCTGCATTTAGCTGATATTCATGTCAGTTCAAAACAATATCCAATATTGTTGATGTGAACTAACATTTGGCGTTTATTTCATATGAAACTACACCTTGAAACATGACCATCGTTAATTGCCGTATGCACAAGCACCATTGCCATGATTGTGATGACCGGATTTGCAAATATAAGCCCTACTTCCGAAGTTGATGCTTGCTCATAGTGTATTTCAAATGTATTTCTGACTATTTTCTATCTTAATTTACAAGGGTTTGAAATATGAATATTCTCTTGGGTGAGGAGACATTTGTAAATTTGTAAATACTCATTTATTTTAATGCCTTAGAAACTTACGTTCATTTCGGATATCAAGGGTATTTTATAGCGCAGTATTTATGTGATCATATTATCGGTACTAACACAAGATGATCATAGCCGTTCCACTCTGTGAAATACTGGTGGCTAACCGAAACGGTGTCCTCCCAAAATTTCTACATGCCAAAACTTCTACAGCTTAAAACAACAAAGTTTATGGTCCACTGCACCACTAATCTCCTGGCTATTACCTGTTGGGCATTGATTGGAACAGTCCAATTAATTAAGTGTACAACATACAACACAACAAAACAATTTGAAGACAATCGACTCATATAGCACTGGTATAAATAAATAGTACACACACTTTTTGCACTGGACTACTTACTAATTTAATGTAAGCACTGGTATAAATAAATAGTACACATACTAATTCAATGTCACAACTGGCCTTACTCTGTCACATACAACACTAAAAATACTTTTTTTCAAGTCTCTTAACCAAGTTTGAGAAGATGACCAACAGCATCAAGGAACTCGATAGGGGTTTTCTGTCCTTGAGTCAACATGTCCTTAAGACGTCTCAGGCGGTTTTCAGTCCCTCTGTAAACTCGCTTCCTGCTTGGTGGGGCAGCACCAAAGTCTAAAAGATTGCAAGATGAACAAACCTTGTCATAGTGCTTTTTGTGAGCGAGTCTGAGGCGTGAGATAGCAATTTCAATTTTCCTTTCATTTGAGTATGAGTTGAGTGAGTCTTCTTTTTCATTTCCATGAATATCTATGTGAGAGGGGATCCAACACAGCTCCACCTGTTGCCCTTGGTCCGATAGTTTTGTATATTCGTATAGAATATTGTTGATTGTGTTTGGCCTGGAGTTTGAGTTTCTGCCACTGATGGTCTGAAGTGCACCTAGCGAGTCTGATGGGTCCATTTTCATGCTTTTAGTGCGGATCCAGATGGCTCCATCATCCGCGAATTTTGATGCGTTTACTTTAGGGTATAGGCCCTCGAAAAGATCGTGATTTCCTAAACCAGTTAATTTCATTGTAAGTGACGGGTCTTTTTATTATAATCTTCTTTATCTCCCAATATGTTGTTTTCATTAGGTACATCTGTAACTATTTAATCTTCCCAAAGTATCCTTCCTTGCCTTTCTAAAACAAAATCGTAAAGAAGCTAATGAGTCTTCTTAATTACAGGAGGACTATATCATTATAACAATAGGTAAACTCAATCAGCCATGACAACTCTCTGTAGATGTTTTGGCATGTAGAAGTTTTGGGAGTGAACCACCGAAACACTATCATGCAAGCTGACACGTTCCCATTACGTCATAGTTATGTAAGTGCAAAGGTCACCGAATGTCAAAGGTCACCACATGCTTTCGTTAGAAAAAAACAATTACAGTAAATTTTGAAATATTTCGCATGTCCGGTGACCATTGCACTTACTGAAATATTGCTGTCAGATTCTAGATCTTTATTTTCCTTTTTCTCTCGTCATAATAAATTGAAAATGACAAATTGAACATTTTTTCGAATGTGAAGATCTTCAACTTTCGCGACGGCATATCGCGAGGCAATGTAAACTTTGTTCATAATGAAATAGCAATAACTAATGCTGAGGTCGGACGAAGCGCGCCAAGCTTGATTTTTGTACGTCTGCAAGCATTACGACACGTGATTTGTTTTCCGTAGACAGTAAATATTCCACCAAAACACTTGAAATAAGGATTGGTGAATATTTGTAATTCATTTATTGTTTCCTGAAAAATATATAACATGACACTAATTTTCTAATTTCTGCAACTGACATGATGACCTCGAAAATTAAGTTCTTATCGTATAATAAATTTACTGAAATGGCTCATAATTTATTTGCCCATAAAAAAAATCGATTTTCGCAGGTTCCTACCAAGAAGCGCATACCCCATTCAATAACGTTAATCACATAAGTTCAAGAGAATTTACAAATCTTATGTTCACTTTGGTCATAACTTTGGTATGATTGAAAACATCACTATATTTTTATCTAGTCATGTGTAGTTTTCTAGGAATAAATGTGCAAAATATTTCTTCAATTGTCCCTTGTTTGATGAAGCATCGACTATTTGAAATCGTCCACCCTCTCAACAGACAAGGGTCCCACTAGACCAGAGAGGTGGCCAATTGATTATGAACATGTTTGGAATCTAAAACGTTTTATATTTTAAACAATTCGAAACATGTTTATGATACGACATATTCAGACATCAGAACGCGCTTACATTATCGGACAAGGATATAGCATAGTTACCAATTTCACGTCTTCTGAGGAGAGGAATTCGAAGTTCCGGCAACTAATATAAAGACAGAGATCATACAGATTACTAATTATTAGCTGAGATAATGAAAATAATTAGGTCATGAAATTAATTTCAACTCACAGCCTTGAATTACAAAACTGGGACCCTAGCTTCAATGGCTGGAGTATGCAAATACTCATTTTTGGCGAATGATTTAAGTCATACTGTTTAAATTTAGATTTTTAATTTTGGGACGTGAGTTCTTGAAATGCATGACGTAGTTGTTTCCGTTAGCTGCTAATATGGGCTACTTAAGCATCTCAGTATCTTTGGTGGACATTTCACAAATTTGAAAACAAATTTTTGAGGAATAGATTGAAACAACACTTCTTGTGATATTCTTATGGCGAGGAAAGTGACACAACATCACTTATAAGGACATCCTTCTTTTATGAATACGTGTAGGTCCCCCGGATATTACCATTCATGTTTGGGTTTCAGGTTTGTGCGTGCTGTCAGAAAGTAAAAGTTATTTGGTGGAAAATCAAGAAAAATCCCAGAATGAAACATATACGATTGTTATAGCATCCGAATGAATTTGAGGACTGGCGTTAACATAATTCTGAACATTACCCAACCTTTAAAAACCTTGCATATTTTTTTATGTTCAGGTCGTGTATGACTACGAAGTTCCTATGTAAACACAAACTAAGATCAGAATCAAACTGCATCACAGCAACCTTGAAGTGAACATTATGTTTGGCATAATTTAAAGCTATCATTTTGTGTCACACGTTAATTCACATCGTTCTCTGAATATATGTGCTTCATACGAATCCGTCGTGATAAATGTATTGAATTTGCAGCTGCAAAATAACAGTGTTAGAAAGTAGCACTAAACATATAGTCCAAAATAACATTGCTATGATAGAAATGGCAGACAGAAATGTTCCTAAATATTTCATCTAAATGACGGGAAAAGCCATTTTCTACTGATGATGAATATATGTCAGTGATGTTAACTAACCAACCATGTTAAACATAATTTATAATGATTTACTTGACATATTTTTCAGGGACCCCAAAAGACCCAGCAGTACAAAGGATAAGAGGTAGGTATGACACCTCATTGTTAACGAAATGACCACAGTTGACACGTAGTCGTAAGCATGTTTGATCCTCAATTCTCAAATGAATGAAAGTCAAAGTTCTGTTTCTGTTTGGTACATTAATCTTGGTAGCTTTATCACGATAAATGGCAAGACCATATTATAACAAAGTGCTGCAACTCATGTTACTTCAATGGTGATACTATTTTACGCATTTGCATCTCACAGATGAGACAGTTTCAGATATCCAAACGTGGACATCTGGCATGATCAAAACACAGTTTGTTGATGACATCGTGAAGAAGATGGACGCTGGACAAAACTGGATCACAGTCACCGGAAATGCTGGTGATGGGAAGACAACAGTGGCCTACATGGTGCTTCATGAGATGATGAAACGAGGGCGAGAAGTGTTTCGAGTGAAGACAGTGGAGCAGTATCACACCATCACAAAGAATACCCACCGATCTGTCCTCATGATGAACGATGTTATAGGGGCCTTTGCTCTTGATAAAATAGCATTCAGCACATGGAAACCTGTCATATTCGATGCCATGGAAAACATATCAAAGGCTAAAGAATCTGAGCAGCCAAGTGGAGTCATTTGCATGTTGGTGCAAAGATCAAATATCCTAAATGAAGTTGAGCCTTGTCTTGAAAAACATAAACGTTCCATACTTGGGGTCGATGCTGTAACAAACCTATCTTGTCTGCCTGTAGAGGAGAAGGGTCCGATGCTAGACTATCATCTGAAACAGAAGAATATTAAAGACATACCAGAAACTGAAAAATTAAAAGTGATTCAGAGCAGCATACCATATGGATTTCCACATTGTTGCAAGCTGTTTGCTGAGTTGAAGTCGGAGGAGAAATGTGTTGACATTGTACAATTTTTCTCCCGCCCTCTTGAGATTTTGGATGCCACGACTGGTGCATATCTGGATAACGAAAAATTAAAAGATGTGTTCAAGACTCTCTTGATAAGAGATGGGCGACTTGATACCAGTGAGATAGAAGACGATGACCAGCGCAGTGGTATCATTGAAGTATCGGCTCCAGTAATTGGTAGCTATCTGTCAAACACCAACGGAGTAATAACATTTTCACATCCATCCGTTTATGAAAGTGTTGCAAACTGCATAGGGAAACGTGATGTGGTGTTCGCGATCAAATATTTTAGTTTCTCTTTCATAATGGAGAAAATGAGGTTTGCGAAGTCACAAAGCCATGACAGTACTGTTTCAAGAAATGTCTTCAACATATCACCAAACCAACAGAACATCCAACGTCTTTGCGACAGGTTCACTCTTTCAGTGATATACAGACGCTTTAATGTGCTTCGTCATCCCTTTTTCCAAAGCGAGGACTTTTGTCGGACCTTCTTTTCATCCATAATTGAAAGGGACAGCTTTTGGAATAATTTCATCTGCCTGTGCTGCAAGGTAACTAAATACGTAACGTACCTTATCACAGTTATGTTTCAGAACCTTTACACCATATATACACAACGTTTTTATCCGGGATATATAAGAACATGTTTGCCTAGGCACGCAAGTAAACATCTACAGCCTGTATTACTCCAGGCTTCCCTCCCACATCAAGCCGGCACGTTACTGACATGTTCAATGCAGCATTTAACCAACTTACTCGCCCACTTACTGACAGCCTTAGTTTTAATACGGATCATATAACATATCCATGTTTCTTTGCTGATGATCTGACGAAAATGCATAGCGTGAGGGTGTTTAGGTTCAATGATGTCCTTAAGGTTTGTTTGTAGGTTGTTATGCGTGCACTCAACTTTAATTTTAACATCATCATCAATTGATGTATACGCCCCTATTTTGCAGGAAACAGGCAGACTGTCTGTCGATGACAGCAATGAATACGGTGAGACTATGTTGATACAAGTTGCACAGAGTAGTAACACTACTGCCACCTGTATCCTCTTGGAATATGGAGCAAGTATAAATCGGGCAACCACGCAAACGAAGACAGCACTTCACTATCTGTGTGAGAGTGGTGGTGTTGATGCAAGTGTTGTAGAACTGATGCTACAACATGGCGCTGATGTTAACAAGGCTGATGAGCGTGGAAAGACAGCACTTCACTATCTGTGTGAGAGTGGTGGTGTTGATGGTAGTGTTGTAGAACTGATGATACAACATGGCGCTGATGTTAACAAGGCTGATGAGCGTGGAAAGACAGCACTTCACTATCTGTGTGAGAGTGGTGGTGTTGATGCTAGTGTTGTAGAACTGATGATACAAAATGGCGCTGATGTTAACAAGGCTGATAAGCGTGGAAAGACAGCATTTCACTATCTGTGTGAGAGTGGTGGTGTTGATGCTAGTGTGGTAGAACTGATGATACAAAATGGCGCTGATGTTAACAAGGCTGATAAGCGTGGAAAGACAGCATTTCACTATCTGTGTAAGAGTGGTGATGTTGATGCTAGTGTGGTAGAGCTGATGATACAACATGGCGCTGATGTAAACAAGGCTGACAGAGATGGAAAGACAGTACTTCACTATCTGTGTGAGAGTGGTGGTGTTGATGCTAGTGTAGTAGAACTGATGATACAACATGACGCTGATGTTAACAAGGCTGACATAGATGGAAAGACAGTACTTCAGGATCTGTGTGGGAGTGGTGGTGTTGATGCTAGTGTAGTAGAACTGATGATACAACAAGTCGCTGATGTTAACACGGCTGACAGAGTTGGAAAGACTGCACTTCACTATCTGTGTACAAGAAGTGGTGTTGATGCTAGTGATGTAGAACTGATGATAAAACATGGCGCTGATGTTAACGAGATGGACTGGCGTGGAAAGACTGCACTTCACTATCTGTGTAAGAGTGGTGGTGTTGAAGCTAGTGTGGTAGGGCTGATGATACAACATGGCGCTGATGTTAACAAGGCTGACAGAGTTGGAAAGACTGCACTTCACTATCTGTGTGAGAGTGGTGGTGTTGATGCTAGTGTGGTAGGGCTGATGATACAACATGGCGCTGATGTTAACAAAGCTGACAGAGTTGGAAACACTGCAATTCACTATCTGTGTGAGAGTGGTGGTGTTGATGCTAGTGTTGTAGATCTGATGATACAACATGGCGCTAATGTTTACACGGCTGATGTGTATGGAAAGACATCATTTCACTATTTGTGTGAGAGTGGTGGTGTTGAAGCTAGTGTGGTAGGGTTGATGATACAACATGGCGCTGATGTTAACAAGGTTGATTATGTTGGAAAGACAGCATTTCACTATCTGTGTGAGTGTGGTGGTGTTGATGCTAGTGTGGTAGAGCTGATGATACAACATGGCGCTGATGTTAACAAGGTTGATTATGTTGGAAAGACAGCATTTCACTATCTGTGTGAGTGTGGTGGTGATGATGCTAGTGTGGTAGAGCTGATGATACAACATGGCGCTGATGTTAACAAGGCTGATCTCAATGGATAAACAGCATTTCACTATCTGTGTGCGACTGGTGATGTTTATGCAAGTGTTGTAGAATTGATGACACAACAGAGTGCTGTCCTTTCAACGAAGAATGAACATATCGCCAGTAGAGTGTAAGAAACCATTGTAAAAGACCACATGTAACCGCTTGTGATAGAAACAGTATTTAATGAAGATGAAACAGTTCCTACCCTATTCTTTTTATATCATATGTCAGTTATGTCACTGTTATCCTACTTTTATGTAGATCCGTTGAATTAATAGGAACTAGAGGTGTGTCATCACTCACAATGAGACTATAGATCACCGAGACTCCGCCGGGACACAAACTTCTTTGAAATGAATTGAGAAATCATGTATTTTCCTGAGAGAAAAATATTGTGTAATGTCTTTAACATCATTGTCATACCAACGTGTTGTCTACATCTTATCCCTACCGTCTGAAGTATGGCATTTCCTTTTCGGAATAGAAAACCCTTCAGTTTGTCTGTGTTTGATCCTTACTAGATAATGTATGGCATTTCCTACTTTTCGGCATAGAAATAATAACTATATAAGTGCATCACTTATGATATCAGTTTGCAGTATCCTACAGTGTATATACATTTTAAACAAATATATGTATTGCGTAATGATGCCAACTTAGAGGAAATAATGAATGCGTTTATAAACATTTACAGAGAATGCATAGTTGTATCTTGAAGAACTACTCCTGAACTACAATGTTATTGTGAAGTTTAATTCAGCATACAACAGCATATGTCAGCTCATCTGTAATTACAAAACATGCCAGAAGTGTGTTGTTGCGACATATAGGTAAACATTGCCTGGTTCAAAATATCCTTCAATAGATTGGCTGTTGGCATCTGTTATTTGCGATTTCTACTTATTTAGTTTTGATCACATGTGCCACTCACCGAAGGTATATGGATGACACACGGAGACAGAGGAACTGTTCCCCTTTGTATGTGTGACACTAGGTAGTGAATTATGTGTCTATTGGCCAGCTTAGGATTATGATGAGTGTCATCCCCGTTACCATCAGGAACTGGAACGGTAGGAATTGTAACCATCGGGAACTGTAACCATAGTGACATCAGGAACTGTAACCATCCTAACTGAAACCATCAGAAACTGTAACCATCAGGAACTGTAATCATCAGAACTGTAATCATCAGAAACTGTAACCATAGTGACATCAGGAACAGTTCAAATTAAAATGCACATGCGTTGCCCCATTTCTTGCCCTATAAGAATCCACCCAGATTGGATAACATTCATTCGTTTTTGAATTGCTACAACATGCCGCGATTGACAAGAAATCAGCGACACCAAGCCCTTGGACGATTGCAAACTGGAAAAACCGCCCGGCAAGGAGCCAATGCATTTCAAGCAACGGTACCAGACCACCAACACTACAGATGACCGACCACATCAGGATCGTCAGATTGTGCGATAGCATCTTCAAGATCGCTTTGTTACTGATACGGAAACTGTTCGACAGACCATGGGGAAACACCAGCGACACATTAGTGCGGACACCGTGCGTCGACGATTGACGAGCAGACACCTCCACTGTCACAGGTCACACCAAGGACCCATTCTGACACCACGTCATCGCCGGGACCGTCTTCAGTGGGCAACACAGCACCAGCATTGGCACCACCAGCAGTGGAGAAGAGACCTCTTCTCAGACGAGAGTCGTTACTGTATCTCAACAGCAGATGGCAGAGAGTCTGACGACGCCGGCAACGTTATTCGGATGGTTGTGTTGTTGAGAGAGACTCCTGGGGTGGTCCGAGCATCATGGTGTGGGGTGGAATTGGTCTTGCACAGAAGGTCGACCCTGTGGTCTTCCAGAACATCGGTCAAGGGAGAGTCAATGGTGTCACAGCAGCTCGGTACATTGATCAAGTCTTGATACCACACGCCATACCTCATTCGGCACCTCGCCGAAACCACGAATTTCAGCATGATTACGCCCGTGCCCACACTGCGAGAGCAACAAGAGAGACTTCTTCCAGCAGAATGGCATCAGAACCGTGCAGTGGCCTGCCCTCAGTCCCGATTTAAATCCCATTGAGCACCTGTTGGACGAGATTCAAAGACGGCTGAATGACATCCGACCAAGGCCGACAACTGCAGCTGAACTGCGTCAGGCGTTCCTCAGAGTGTGGGCTCAAGTGCCTATCTATGACCTTCATCAACCGCCTCATCCATTTCATGTATCGACGTTGCACTGCAGTCACCAATGCACATGGCAGACACACGAGATTCTGACTTGTGATGTCATTTTCTCAGAGACTAGTGTTGTGTTTCACTTTAAGAACATTTAACACTTTCATTTCAACCTTGATGATCAATTTGATGATCAAAGTTTCATCTTTTTAATATGTCTCAAAGTATTTTACAGTGTTTGGACAATGAGGTTTCTCATACATCTATCCATGGTGACGGTTTTTTTGCGGTTCACTATACATGAATACCAATGCGGAGTGCGGCGTTAAATAGCATCCACTCACTAACTCACTGTTTGAAATCGGATACGGAAAAGTATGTGTGTGTGATATCGCTACATATGGTGAAGCTGATTCTATCCCCGGTCGGAGGTACACACATTTACTAAAAGTGAAATATTACCTGAAATGTAACAAACTAAACGGTCCCTAGGAATTTGTAACATCAGTGGTTGACTGACTAAACTTCACAGTGCTCTTAAAAAGACAACATATATATCAGGAAAGAACTTTTGATTCTTTAATCTCGAGTACGGCGAACATAATGAAACTGAAGGCAACGAATGTTTATGTTTTCTGCATGACCCTGAATGGTTGTGCTTGACATAATATTAAAGTGCTCATTGTCACGCTGTGTTTGCATAATGGTTGATATGGAGAATCTCACCCGAGTGTCTTTTGATATCAAATATATCAAAACGAGGCTTTTATCAACGAGTATTGATATATTTGATATCAAACGATCCAACATCATTCTTCCAACTTTTTCAGTTTGTAGACAGTAATAAGCCGTGTATAAGTGTAAAAGTACTGCTAACAGCTTCAGTAGCAGAGCCATTAGTGATGTCATTTGATTGTGATGTCATGGTAACCAATGACGTCACAAAGATCTGCAAAGCATTGTGATGCAATTTCATTGCAGCGATATCTACAATGTAGATATCGCTTAATCTCACCCGATATCTCATGTGGGAGTCAGTTTTGGATGATAAATATTCTAGTCAACGAATATTTCACATCCTTTTTGCTGAAAACGATTAGCGTCATAGTACTGACCAGTGTGTATCTGTATTCCTACCGTAGGGACACTGTTAGCAACAGCCTCATTCGGATAACTCATTCGGATAACAGCCTCATTCGGATCAATGTTTTTAATGAATAGTTTGGTTTAAGGGTTGGCTTAGAGATCGTTCTGAGGAAACCAAGAGGATGTAAAAAACTTATGTTTGTCAGGTGAAGTAACGTTTAATCGTATCACATATGAATAATGGTTTTTAAAAGACCTGTAAAGAGCTTTTGAACAAGCAGCTGCTCTAGATTCACAAAGCTTCCAAACGAAACAACAACACTAGTATTTGATCTATCATAAAACTGTATAAACTGCCTTGCTGAAGGTCGAGCTTTTCGCAGAGAGAAATCGCCTATGTACTTGATATTGTTATGAGTGACGTTGTATTTTTGTGTGGTTCACAAGGGGTCCAGTTTGGGTGGACGGCGTCATGCTTGATTGAGTTAAGCAAGCTGCCTGACGGGGAGAAGCGTGCTTGTGGGGTGATTGGAGTTTGATCATGAGTTGGCTTGGTAACTGATTGGTGTGGGCCGATCAACCTTTTGTTGTGTGCTGAAGTAGATAGCTTACTTGGAAATTTGTTTACTATATGAGGGCAAGTTATCGAACAGAAAGGGGGAAGGAAAAAGAATTGGAGAGGGAGAAATATGGTTTAACTGAACGAGGGCAGTTCAGCCCAGCGTTATGTCCGGAGACAAAGTTAGAAGGTCATGTCGACGCTTCGAAGGAGGAAACTGTTGTTACCCAGTTATCCTGTGAACTGTGAAATATAAGTTTGGAACAATGTGAAATGAAATTCATTGAGAATGTGATGTCAAGAAATCTGAGGTGACTGTTATCTATATTGCACATTTGCCACATTGCTTTCCCTAAATAGATGTGTATGAGTGCCTTGCCCAGTAACTGAGAATTGTTATATTATACTTATCTTTGTTTTAATTATTAAATCTAGCTTTAAAGTTCAGAGATTGTTGTGTGATTCTTGTAATTGTTATTTGTGGGTATTAGCGGGAACCCCTGCCGTTCATACCACACGTAACAAATGGGGGCTCGTCGATTTATGAACCTATTTAAATCATAAGGGGTTAAATTGTAAGTGGGAAGCATATTTGTATTATTTACTCCCCTCCTATAATCATTATTCAAAAAGAAAAGTCCTGAAGATCACAACAATCTTGTTTTTTTTTTGTGTCATACATGTATATCATGTCAGGAGCATCATGAGTTTTATACCTAGTGAGTTTATGCAATCAGTAACTCAAACCAAATTTTAAAACTTGTCAAAGACAGAGCTTAAGCAAGTAGCTGAGTATCACGACATTAGAATAGATGAGACAGCTAAAAAAGATATCATTCAGAAAGGATTGTTGGGAGAATTAGTTAGCAAAAACTTAGTTCAGGAGAAAGACACATTGGATGTATTTGAGAGTGAGAAAGTTGCTAAGATGCAATTTGACAGGGAAATAGAATTGCTGAAAGTAAAGAGAGAAAAACAGGAATATGAACGTGAAAAACAAGAATTTGTGGAGAAAGAACGTGAGTATGAACGTGAGAGATAGGAACTTGAAAGACAAGAAAAACAGCGGGAGCATGAGCGCGAGATGGAAAAACTAAGCTGAGGGTTTGAATTAGGGAGGACAAGAAGTAGATTTATTGAACAAGAAGAGAACATGGCCCGATTTATTAGATTTGTTCCTCGCTTTCGCTAAAGTGAAATAGACACATATTTTGCCCATTTTGAAAAGACAGCAACAAATTTAAAGTGGCCTAGACATTGTTGGACTAATCTATTACAAAGTGGGCTAGTGGGTAAAGCTCAGGAGGCCTATGCAGCTTTATCTGTGGAGGAAAGTTCCGAGTATGAAGTTGTTAAACAAGCCATTTTAAGCGCTTAGAAACTTTTTCCAGAGGCATTAAGGCAAAAGCTCAGAAATTACCCAAAATTTGAAAATCAAACCCATGTTGAGTTTTATATTGTCAAGGTGACTAAATTTTGACAGAAGGTGTGCATCTGAAGACGGAGGTTGAAACTATGACAAACTGAAACAATTAATGTTGATCGAAGAGCTCAAAAGGTGTAGTTCTAATGATGTGAAGGTGTATTTGGATGAGCATGATGTAAAATCGTGGCGGGAAGCGGCTATATTAGCAGATAGGTACACACTCACTCACAAAAGTGTATTTTCAAGGAATTTTAAGTCCTGAGATTATCATGGCGGAGGTCGTGGTAGTGGCAACAATTATCCAGATCGAAAATTTCAGTCCAGTTACCAAAGTTATGGGAGTGGTCGCTCATCCTATGGTCAATAGTGGCAGGGTCAGTCCGATCACAAGTCTGTGAATAATAGTGGACAAAGTCGTGGTCAGTCATTCACGGGTTATTCCAATTACAATTCTGGTCGAGGACAGCAATTTCAAGGTCAGCTGTTTCAAGGTAAGCAGTTGCAAGGTCAGTGTAGCGGTTATTCTAGAGGTCATGGTGGTAGCCAAGGTTACAGTGGTAAATCTCATTAGCTAGTAATTAAGGTAGTCTGGAAAACGGACATGGTAGCTATGGTAATGGTAGGAAAAGTCAAACTCAGAGTGGGGGACCCCAAGGTCATGGTTGCGCCGCAGTGTTCAGGAAGACACCTAGTAGTTTACTCAGTCAGGACATACCTGTTGTTGAGTCCAAGGATGAAGTGAAAATTGATAGGTCTAAGGCAACTTACGATCCTTTCATGTCTAAAGGTGAGATCGTGATAGGCAGTGGCGATCTAAAGGCAGTCACTATTCTCAGGAATACAGGTGCATTATAAACTCTAATACTGGAAGGTATAGTTCCTCTATCAGAAGAGACTTATACAGGAACAAGTGTACTCGTGCAAGGTATAGAATGTGGTGTTGTCCATGTTCCTCTTCATACTGCAGAGTTTAAGTCAGAACTTGTTTCGGGAACAGTTGTTGTAGGAGTAAGATCACAACTTCCGGTGTCTGGTGTTTTGATGTTTTCTTAGGAAATGATCTAGCTGGAGGTGAGGTTAAACCTAAGGTTTCAGTAATCGGCGCTGACCCTGTTATGTGTGATGAACCTACGATTTCTGTGGATTCAGTTAGTGATGAAAGTTCAGACACAGCTCAGGTTTTG